TGGTCAGGCTGCAGACGAAGCAGTCCTAAAGTTAGCACAACAGGACTCAATAGGAAGTTGAAAATTTGTAAACGTGCATATTCAATATATCGGTATAAATAAGGGAAAAAATTAAAATTGAAATATAATAATTTTGGATAAGAAAATCGAGAGTAAAATTTTTCATCTGATTGGCAATTCAGTTTAAAAGCAAATTCTCAATGTATATTTCTTAACCACAGCAAACGAAGACGATTTAAAGCCACAAAGTGATTGGGAGGTTGAGCAGTAACCAACTAACACACAATCATGTGCAGTAGTGGCATTAATATCACAAAGCTTCGTTCATGGTCCATTCGTGTTTCTCTGGATATAAGGTAACAAATTTGATGAGAACCAAAATATAATATTTAATTATAAAAAAATTAGTATTTCTTGCATCAAGGGCATCTTTGATACGTTGGGAGAAATTGGCTACTTATTGATTAGTTGATCTTTGTGACCTGAAACTTGCTTGTTCATTGCTAAGAATTTTGGTGGTCTCAAGGAACTAGGTCAACCTCCTGTTACTCATTCTTTCCATAAGTTTAGCCAATATGCTTGTGAGGGAGATAGGCCTGTAGTCATTGAATTTGCTAGGGTCTCACAGATTTTGTTGAAAAAAGTAAGCACAGTTTCCTTGGCTTTTGGTACCATTCCAATTAGAAATTCTGGAAAGGAACTTTTGGCACTTTATCTGTTTTATATCGGCATTAAGTTCACAAGGTCTGAATGGTTCAGTAAGTACATTATTTCGTGTTGTTATATCTTCCTTAATTTCAACAAACCGTCTTACTTGTGTCTTTATATCTCCTGAAGGTTTTCTGACTAAAGGGTTTTTCTTATGCTTGGTGGAATAGAACCTTGCAAAGCAGTTAGCTATTTCGGATTCGGTAGTATGTAGTTTGTTGTCTAAGCGTATTGTTTCTTTCTTGGGTTTTTCCCTGATGTTTCGTAGGTTATCGAGGAATTTGAAAGTGCGTTGGCTATCACTTTGCTAATTGATATTTGAGATGAAGTTATCGAAGAGAGTCCGTTTAGCTTGTTAGATTGCTTGTCCTATTACAGCTGACTGCCGTCTCCAGGCTTGTACGTCTTCCGTTCTTTCAGTCCGATCAGCTGTGTTGCAAAAGGCGTCCCGGTTTCTTTCAGTTTCTCAAGGTGTTCAGACCAAAACACTCCATAATGTTTAGCCTTGCCACAGGAAATAGTTTTCCTTGTACATCTGATCATTATATTCGTGATTTCGATGCAAAGTTTGTGAAGATGTTGGTTGATGTTGAGGGAACTTGTATGAAGTTCATTCTCTAGAAGGTTTGTGCAGCTAAGCCTCTCAGCCTTCTTTAAGTTCCATGATAGCTTAGTTAGCACTTTTGTTGTCATGCTTTTGGTGCCAATGGTAATATTTGCAAAGACCGGTTCGTGACAAGAACCAGGATCGTCATTTATTGAGCGGTGTGTATGCTCGCTGATGTCGGTTGTAGTCCGGAGCAAGTCAGGAGTTGTTCTGGTTCCATTGCAGTGCAAATATGTAGCAGGATCCTCATTACTATAAATAAGTTCCAGAGGATTGCTGTTTAGCATGTCTTCGATTTCCTTTCCAGTTATGTTTGTAGTCTTTTAGTCTCTTCTGGGGGAATTTGTGTTGAGGTCTCCTAATGCTACAGTTTTGTGTGAGATGGTCAGAGAAACAAGATTGGGACAATTCTAGGGTGGATAATAGATTACATATATCTTGAAGTGGTTTTGACAGTTTACTCTGCTTATTTCACATTTGTCTTGCATTGAGCCCATGCTCTTGATTAGATCATATTGTGATGTGAAGCCTTCTTTCACTTCAGTCAGAATTCCATTTGCAACTTGAGGCCTTCTTTTACTCCAGTCAGAATTCCACTTGCAAATTCCTTCTTTCACTTCAGTCAGAATTCCATTTGCAACTTGGCGGTATTTAGGTAGAAGGTATAGGGTGTAACCTGGGAATTGGTGGTATTTCAGTTTCTCATCTGAAAGGTTTGCTTCCATAATTGTAAAATTGTCAACATCATAGGTTTGTAGGGTATTCTGGACTTGGATCTTTTAGTCCTGTGGCAACCCTTCAAAATTCCACTGGATGATCTGTAGACTGTGATTCACTCTGACGAGGGCGATTCCCCTTATGACCTAATTTCAAGCTAATCAATATGAATAGAAGTCAAAATGCCGGGTGATGGACTTTTTGCTGTATGGAAGATACGTTGTCCAGGGTGCACAACGTGGAGGTTAGTCTATCGCGCACCCCTAGATGTGGTATTTTGCAACACAATACATTCCTTTGAATTCACGTCATACATTTGCAGCGATCTTGCCGATTATTATAATCAAGCTCTAGACTTGCAAAATTGCATGGGATGTAGGCTGAATAGTAGCCTTTTCGTTTCGAAATGACATTCACATTCAAGTAGTATTAGTTAATAATTGCATATTTGAATATTTCTCCAGTTAAGTGTCAAATGTGAATAACTTCTAAATGGTGTACCATGTTTTCTAACTTTAAAAGGATTTTCTTCGCTGTAGATTTGTTTGTGAACATTCAGTTCATATTTATGCCAAATTCGCTTGCCACAATCCTCACAGACGAATATTTATTTCGCCAGTATGTTTGCGTTTGTGAGCGTTCAATCGACTTCCATGAGTAAAAGACATTTTCCGAACATCCCAAGTGAAACGCCTTTCTTCACATACGGTTTTCTTACTCATATTTTGGAAGCCCCCTCAAAATTCATCTTAATGAACATCATTATTTGGAAGGTTACACTCTTTTTTGGAATTGGACTTTCTCAAGGTTGCTCAAATTACGAAGAAAAGTGTTGGAAAAGATAGGTTTACAAACTATCATACTTTTGAATGTTTTCGAATTTGTATTCTGTTCATGAACTGACTGGAAGTGGAATCAAATCTCATTTCTGTTTTCGGATATGAAATTGTAGCTGGGGCAGTGCAAATAATTGACTAAACATCTGACCAACAAAGAATCATCAACTTGATAGTGCCTCCTATTTTCCACCTCAAAAGTATTTGACTGGACAACGAAAATGTTTGTAATGCGCTTTTTGAGGTGTTCATAAACTCTCTATTGCTGTCGCACCAGTATTGGTTTTCTATTTTAATTTTATCACTCAACAGCTCTAGATTAGTTTCAATTCACCAAGAATTAATTTTTAATAATTCTGTGACAAATAAGGAACTAAGCTTTGGTCTAATGTTTGTCACTTCGGTTAATTTCTCCAAAAGATAAAAATCATATCAAGAACTTTAATGAACTGAGAGTTGGACAGAATGATTTACCATGTGTTGATGGACAATAGTTAGTTTTTAACGAAGATAAGTTATGTGTTTCAAAGCTATATTAATTACGAAGATCATCATTTACCCAACTCCAATACAAAATATCTCAGATATTTAAGAACTACACGAATTGCTAAAGCACACTCACTATTCTCAATCACTATAAACGATTTGCAGGCTTACATGTGTTTTAATTCAACGGTGCCATTAGGACATTGGATTAAATTGAACAATATCTGATATTAAAAAATGAGGCAAAGTTCAATATATTTTTTTATTCCTAAGATATAAGTATAAGAAAGAAAATTTAAAAATCAAAATGGATTTTTAAAAGTTGTTATGAATATATACGATTACTTTGACTTGACTCAAGATAGGACTGTAGATATTGTAGAAGATGTCTTCAAGCATAGCACACGAATGGGGTGTATTTCAGCAAATTATGCGCTCAGTTGAGTTGCGTTATGGATCTTTGTTCAGAAATGCTTCAGATACAATTTAAAAAAATGGATGCGTGCCCTTATTGGAGAAATGGATTGGATTTTTACTCTGGAGTCACCTTATATTTCCACAAACACTTAGCGAGTGGTCATTTCTATGTGTCCATTTGCGTGAATCCAAACATCGATATTGGAAGCTATACCATCTGATATCTTCGTTTCTAGATGCTTTTTCTCATGAATAGTACTGTTGCGCTATAAAAAACAAAATCTATACAGCATATCTCAGCTCATTCACTTCAAAATTCTATTGAATTTCACAGGAATGCGCCGATTTATGTAAATTCCATTCATCTATACTTGAAAAACTCATTCCGCATACATTGCATTTGAATGGTTGGTCTCGAGTTTGGCAAGGCATATGTCTCTTCAAGCTGATAAGATGCCTATAACGCCTTCCACATACATTGCATCTGTGAGGTTTTTCACCAGTATGCACAAGTAAGTATGTTTGCATATTTTGTTTAGTTAGAAATCGTTTGTTGCATTCACTACATTTGTATGGTCTTTCTCCCGTATGCGTGCGTATATGTACAATCAAATCTGCTTTATGCAAGAATGCTTTTTTGCATACTTCACATCCGAAGTGCCTTTCTTCCCTATGGGTGCGCAAATGATTATCTACCTGCGATGGAGTTTTAAATTTCTTTCCACATATTCTGCATTTGTACGGTTTTTCATCACTGTGAACGGCTTTGTGAGAATTCAGTTCAAATTTTGTGAAAAATCGATTACCACAAGCTTCACATTCGAATGGTTTTTCGTCGCAATGTCTGCGTTTGTGAAATTTTAAATTTCCTTTAATTGAAAATGCTTTACTACATACATCACAAGTGAAAAGCTTCTCTTCATTTGAAGTTTCCTTGCTCATTGTTGCGATGTTGTCTACAATCTCGTCCGAAGGACCAGTTTGCTTTGGAAGGTTATTGCCCACATTGGAATTAGGAGCTAAAAATACGACGAAGAAATAAATAACAGGCTTGTTCAAAATTATCGGTAGCCGTTTTGCATACAGCATTATACATATAACATTGAACATTCAAATCATAGGTAGTTTATCGAGGAATTTGAAAGTGCGTTGGCTATCACTTTGCTAATTGATATTTGAGATGAAGTTATCAAAGAGAGTCCGTTTAGCTTGTAAGATGGCTTGTCCTATTACAGCTGACTGCCGTCTCCAGGCTTGTACGTCTTCCGTTCTTTCAGTCCGATCAGCTGTGTTGCAAAAGGCGTCCCGCTTTCTTTCGGTTTCTCAAGGTGTTCAGACCAAAACACTCCATAATGTTTGGCCTTGCCACGGGAAATAGTATTCTTTGTACATCTGATCATAATATTTGTGATTTCGTTGCAAAGTTTGTCAGGATGTGGATTGAAGTTGAGGGGACTTGTGTGAAGTTCATTCTCTAGAAGGTTTGTGCAGCTAAGCCTCTCAGCCTTCTTACAGTTCCATGATAGCTTAGTTGGCACTTTCATTGTCATACTTTTGGTGCCAATTGGAAATACTAGTAATGACTGGTTTGTGACTAGAACCAGGATCGCAAATTATTCTGCTGCGTGTATGCTCGCTGATGTCGCACGAATCCAGTATCAAAGTCAGGAGTTGTTCTGATTCCATTGTGCAAATATGTAGCAGTATCCTCAATACCATAAATTAGTTTTAAAATGTTGCTGTTTAGCATGTCTTCGATTTCCTTTCCAGTTATGTTTGTTTTATTATAGCCTCATCTGGTGGAATTTCCTTAGAAGTCTCTTAATTCTCCAGTTTTGTTTGAGATGCTCAGAGAAACAAGGTTGTGACAATTCTGGGGTGGATTATAGATTGCATATATCTTGAAGTGGTTTTGACAGTTCCAAACATTTACTCTGATTATTTCGCATGTGTCTTGCATCGAGCCCATACTCTTGATTAGATCGTAATGTGATGTGAAGCCTTATTTCACTCGAGTCAGAATTCCAATTGCAACTTGTTGGTATTTAGGTAGAAGATACAAGGTAAAACTTGGGAATTGGTAGTATTTCAGTTTCGCATCCAAAAGGTTTGCTTCCATAATTGTGAAATTGTCAACATCAAAGGTTTGTAGGATTTTCTGGACTTGGATATTTTTATTCTGTAGC